CAGAGCCACCCTTGGTTGGCCAGGTGGCCCAGGCCTCAGGACTTGGAGACCCCTGCCCACTCCAGGGAAGACCCACCCTGATCATCAAACTCTGCAAATAATAGTGATTCAAATGAATGGTTCTCTACTGCTGCCATGGCCGTGATCAGGCTCCTAGGCAGAAGGGAGTGGGTGGGAGCTAGAAGTACATTCAGGGCCCCATCCAGGACCCTAACTCAGGAGAGGTGAGCAGAGATAGCCCTGACACTGTTACAGACAGCACTTGGCAGGCAGGGAGCTGCCTCAAGTTACGAGGGACACGACAGGTCCACCTGGAATGGCGCAGCACCCTGCCTGTTATCCTCTGGATTGCAAGTTGTGTCATCTCCACCTGTGCTCAGGTCTCTTGCTGTCCTCTTCTCTGGCTACCTGATTGCCCCCTAGCCTGTATTGCTGGATGCTGTCCCTTCTGGTCTTTGACAGTACACTGTCAGATCTTTCTGAACTCTGGTATGGGGATTCTGGGTCCCAAGGTCCCAGCCCTCTTCTCCTCCTCACCCTCAGCTTGTGCCTGGGGTCTGCTGGGGCTGTGTGCTTCTCCCTGAGGTACAGGAGCTGCCCTGTCCAGCATGGCAACAGTGAAGAGTGCTGGTGCTAGAGAGCATCAAGTGAGCTGGGGCTAGACCTAACCCAAGCTGCTCTGCCCTTGGATCACCTGGCCCTGACCTGTTCTCATTCAGAGCTGGTGACCTCTGCTTTGGCCTTTGTACACTTTGTGCCTTTGGGCAGATGTGCCCTGTAGGGGTCCTGTCTTCTAGCCCTTTCTAAGCAGAGGGTACATTCTCAGCTCTCCGATGGTCCCAAGAAGGATGGGCAAGACAGATGCCTGTGCTGGATGTTTGGTCCATGGACCTGGTCAGCCCTGGGAACCTGCAGTGAGGCTACCTTGGGGTAGGACTTCAGTTTTCTTTTTTCTTTCTTTCTTTCTTTCTTTTTCTTTCTTTCTTTCTTTTTTTTAAATTTTATTTAAAAGGAAAAAGAGAAAAACACAGAACAAAACAAAGCGGTGTAAGGGTACACGTAATACAGAACTACAAAAAAAAAAAAAAGACAGTAAGAAATCACCAGTTAATAGATTGGACCAGGTTCAGTATTCTGGATCAGGTCTTTATGATAAAGACCATACCCAGTGATCATGACCCAACCTCAATGTTTAGGAGCCAATTTCTTTGTTCAGGACCAGGTGTCAGTGTTCAGGACCAGGTCCCTACGGTAAACTTCTGGCCCAAAGTTCATGACCAGCCTCATTGCATAGAAACCAGATTGTAATCAGGGTCAGGACTGAGTGTTTATACCCGGACCTTGTGATTATGACTGGGCCCGATAATCACAACCAGCCACAATGCTCAGGACCAAGGCTCAGTGTTCAGGAACACTGAACTCTGGTTTTGAATACTGAGCCTGGTTCCTCAGTGTTCAGTGCTAGGTGCTTGGTATAAAAAATTGGTTCAGTGATCATGCGTTTTTATACCTACAGTGCTTAGGAACCAAGCTCATTACTCATGACCAGTGTTCAATTTCAGGATCAAGTCCTTCTAATGAAGACCAGCTCAGTGATCAGGACCCAGGCTCAGTGCTTACGAACCAGGCTCAATGTACAAATCAAGGCTCAGTATTTGGCTCCAGGAAAGACATGTCCAAGAATTCAGTTCCTTTCCTCATTGTTTACAAACTAGGATAAAATTCAGGACCAAGGTTCAGTGTTTAGCCCTGGGTCCTCGTGATAAAGGACACGCCCCACAATCATGTGCTTAGGAATCATGCTTATGTTCTGAATCAAGGCTCAGTGTTCATGATCTACTCGGTGCCTAGAGCTGTTGTTCTTTTCACCATCATTTTCTGGTCACCAGGATCAGGGCCAGTTATTCATTCAGTTACATGATCCAGCTCTGAAAATGAGCCTTCTGGCATCCTGGCTTGGTGCAGCTGACATTAAATGTTGGGTCTCAGCTCATGAAAGATGAGGTCATGCCTTAGATCCTGAACAAGGATCAACCCATGTCCATTCATCCCTTTCACCCACATGTTCTTTGAGGCAGCATGCCCTTGTCTGGTGCCTCCATACTTCTCCGATCCCCTCCCCTCATCTGAGAAATTCTCTTGAGAGTCTAAGTATTGGTCTTTGGTATCATTTTATTGAAGAGTAAACCATGTGAATGGGGAGGGAGGTGCTGTCACACAGGTCTCAGCTTTGCTACCACATAGAGGGCTCCAGCACGCTTCCTCCCTACAAAGTCAAGAGGGACCAGGCCAGAGGAGTTCCTGAGCATCTTCAGCCTTGTAGTGCCCCTGTACTGGTCCTGGCCTGGCATCTGGGAGTCCAGCCCTGACCCTGGGCCCCTCTGGTGTTCTCAGAGTTTGTGAAAGTTCCTCCAGGGAGAGCAGAGTCCTGTGTGGTGAGGCAGAATCCTGTGATCCTCTCTCCGGAACCATCACCCCCATGCTTCGTCCCCTCTGTGTCCCTCCTCCCTCCTGCCTCTGTGTCTGGTTGGCACCTGTTCAGTACTGGGGACTTTCTTTGCTGCCAGATGGGCCTCGCACAGTTGTCAAGGTCAGCGTTGTGCTGTAGAAGAGGCTCAGTAGAAAGAGGGTGAGGAGGGTGATGGTGGTGGGCCACAGGCTAGCACCTGGGGCCTCCTCCTCCAGCACATCCTGTGGCTGGTCCAGTACCACCCAGGGAAACAGCTCTCGCCACTCTGCAAGACATGGAGAACTTATGTGGGTAGGGGCCCAGGACTAACCATAGCTTCTATGCCATCTGCCGGTCTGGGGGCTGTGGCAGGTGGGTTAGGTCTGAGACTTGCCTAGAGAGGATGAGGAGGCAGGGATCCTGGCACAAGGATAATACCCTTGCAGCTCTTGAGATGCTCCTGGGACCCATACCTCAGGGGACATTAGAGAGAGAAGGCAGGGAATGTCTTTGAGAATCCAGCCTCAGGCCTCCTGGGTCTCAGCCTTGTTCATGTACTTGGCAAATTCTCACCAAGCCCTGGTTCTTGGGCTGGCCTTAGCCTGAGTCCTGGGGCTGGGAAGGATCAGACTACCCCTCAGGAAGAACTAGGCCAGAATTCTGAGACTGAAGTCATTGTGCCAAGAGCTGGAAGGGTATGGCCAGAAGCCCGAGTTACCTTTCCTGAAAATTAGTTGAGTAGTCAGCAGATAAGGCCAGCTGAAGGATATCAGAAGAGATAGCCCTGTTCTCAGTGTCTCAGGACATAGATTTCCCATGCTAATGTGAGCTGGACCTACTGATCACATGCTGCACTACCTAATCATTTATCTTTTCCTCTATCTATCTTCCCATTCACCCTGTCTTCCATGAGTCCTTCCTTCTAGTCAACTATCATCCACCAGCGTACTCTATATCCATCCAACCATTTATCCACCCATCCATCTACTCATCTATTCATCCATCTTTCACTTCCCCACCTACTCATCTATCCACCTACCCTTTCATTCATCTTTTGTGCTATGATCCATCTTCCTATCAGCCCTGCTCTGCATCTCTTGATTCAGCCTTCCACCTCTTGGTTCCTCTTCCTTTCTCTCTCTAGAGAAAAATTTCTCCTTTGGGACAGGTCCTGAGTACCATGAGGTGATGAGACCACTTCTCCAATTGGCCTTTTTGGCAATATTTCTCCAATTGGCCTTTTGTTTTCCCTATTGCCCTCTGATGATGGGACTCAACAATATCAGGGGTGAGTGTGGGCCTCTCCTCCACTTTGGCCTAAGAACAGAGAGAATCTGCTAGAAGCCAAGCCCTCTGGAAAGGCCCAGAGGCAAGATCAAGGGCCTCGCTGCCCCCTTGTGGCATCTGGATGCCAGGTATCCCCCCCCCCCCCGGGTTTATGGACTGCTCTCTTTATGCTCTTGGGACCAACAGAGCCAGAGACACAGAGGTTCATGTGGGAACAGTCTCCCTGACCTACTTCAGACCCCTTCTCATATACTCTTGCCCTGTCTATGGTTTAGGTCGTACTTGGACTCTACTGTGTATGGGCAACTTGAGTCTTAGGGCGGGAGCTGCCTGGAAGGGATATTTGGGTACACAGGGAGGCTGGGCATGGCAAGGATGGGCCTTAGAAACCCTGGGGTTGAGAGGGGATTCCCCTGCTTTCCTGGAGTTGAGTGTGGCCTGTACACTTCCTGCACCTGTGGAGCTTAGACATGTGTGAGTGTGTGAATGTGTGTATGTGTCTGTGTGCACACGTGCATCCTCATGCAGGAAATGAGCAGTGTGGCATGGGATGGTACATACCCCTTCTGCATGAATCAGTGGCTGTCCCATGCTACTGGGTTTGCCCATAGCTGATCCAGAGAGGTGGAGGTGCCTTCTCGTGGGGGACAGGTGTTCCTAAAATCATCTCTCATTCCCTCATTCCCTCTCCCAACCCACTGCAGATGGTACAAGCTCATCTGGTCACCTGTCTGTCCTTTCTTGGTCACCCTGGCCAAAACCATGGAAATACAGGACAAACACACTGCTTTAACATCTACTTCCCATGGCTTTGCTGCACTTGGGGCCCCTGTGGGTTGTGCTCACCTCAGAGACTGCCAGCCTCAGATTTGGCACAAAGCTGGGTCTTAGCTCCTGTGCAATGCACACTCACAGGAATGTGCCCACACATACACATTTCCACATACAGATTCACTGTGCAGTGACATACATAGACTCTCACAGGTACACACAGGCATGCATATAGACTCATAGACAGAGGCACAAATGTGGATAGCACACATACATGCATGCACCCATAGGCACACACAAAAGGCCATGGCACACACACACTCTCAGGCACATACACGCTCTCAGGCACACACGCACAGCAAACATATTGGAGCCCAAGACCCCAGTAACTGGGGCAGGGGCTGCTCTTCCCTCCCAGCCTGGCCCCTCTCTCTGTGTTGCAGACCCAGAGGATGGATGGATAGGCAGAGAGGTGCCAGATGGAAGTGTGGGCTACTTTGGGCGAGCATGGTGTTTATTGAAGGGACAGGGTTGGCAGTCTGCTCAGTAACAGGTGCCGTCTGCCTCCGACATGATCACAGACACGTTGACCTGGGTGGGTTTACCCGACTGGTGGTCGATGGTCTTCTGGGTGAAGGACCCTAGGGGCAGAGACTCATGGCCCACCACGCAGGAGAAGTTGTCCCCCTGCTTCCAGGATGAGGCTGTCACCCGTAGCACGCTGGTCACAGCATAGGTGATGGCGCCCTCATCGGGCTCCTTCAGGGGGTCCCACACCAGGTAACTGTTTTGGGGAAGCTCCTGGTTCCCATGCAGCCAGCGCACCAGCACCTCTTTAGGGCTGAAGCCCCGCACCAGACATGTCAGGGACACCAGCTCATTCAGTGCCAGCTCCTCCGACGGCGGCGGCAGCAGGTGGACCTGAGGCCGGAAGACATTCTCTGTGGGGCAAAGAGTTGGATCAGGGACCTAGTGGGAAGCAAAGAGCATCCCCCTGGGCCCTGACCCCTGAACTGGCTTCAGTTTCCTTCTGTAAAATGGCATGGGAGAAAGATTGGGGGCCAGGCCCACCTGAGGGTTTTTTGATGGTGGCAGTCAAGGAGCCCTCCAAGTCAGGGTGGGTGACTGTGCAAGTGAAGGTCTCCCCACGGTTCCAGGGTTCAGCACAGCCAGGCAGCACACTGGACAGGCGGTAGCAGCCACAGGAGTCGATCTCAGCAGGCTTCGTAATGGCTTCCTTCCCATTTGTAGGTGTCCAGGAAAAGGAAGCTGGAGTTTTGTTCCTCAGACCACTCAGTGTGCATGTAAGGCTGGCGTCAGAGCCGAGGAGCAGGTCCTCGAGGGCTGGCCGCTGCAGTGACAGGCTGGGCTGGCATTGGCATGTTGGTGGTGGAATTGTTGGTGGTACTACTGTTGGAGTTGGTGCTAGTTAGTAAGGTCCTGGCAGCCCAGTGCCCTCTCCTGCCCCTTCCCTGCCCATCCCTAAGCCTTTAACCCCCACCTTCCTCCACCCCAGGCTGCTGTGTAGCCACTCCTGGGCTGATCCAGGCAGTCTATTCTTGTGGCTCCTGGCCCCTCTATTGAGGACTCAGGTACAAGAGGGATGGTCCACCCCAGCTCGCCCTCTGACCTGGACAAAACACATCCTTGGTTTGAGGGGCACTTGTAGCATGCTCTACAGAGCAAATGGCCCTTGCGCCTTCTGGACAGTCAGTGGCTGTCAGGTTCAGCTGGCTGCTCATGGTGTATAGGCTCCCTCCGCTAGCCAGGGCAGGTGGGAAGTTCGTGATTTTCCCATCCTTGCTCCAGTTCACATTCACAGGTCCCATGGGGAAGAAATCTTTGATCAGGCAGCCAATGATCACTCTGTCTTCAGACTCGTCCCGTGGGATGCTCAGTGGGAAGATGCGAGGAGAGGTGAAGGACGCTGGAACATGGGACACACTGTGAGATGGGATTCTGCTGTCATTCCCCTCCCCCACAGAAATCAGGACCATGTTGCCACTCCTTATGGTGGAGGAACCTGGCACATAGATGACTGGCAACTGCTCTGGTCACATAAGAGCCATGCCCTGGGAGTGGAGCTGGCTATCCTGTCTTTGATATCCTACCTCTCAACACAACACTTGGGCAGTCTCTGCAGGAGACCTGGTCAGATGTCCCAACAGGGCCTTTGCATGAACAGAGAGCCAGACTGAGCAAATCCTGCTAGGCCTCTTGGCAGCCCGCTGTCCAGGCAGAAGCTAAGAGCAGCCTAGGGTAAAAATTCAGTCTGCAGGGGTTGGGTGGAGAGGCCACTCCATTAGTGTTGCACTTCATGCATACTCTGAAGGACTCAGGGCCATCACCCACTATACCATGACTCTTTTATAGGTCCCAGGACTAAAGTTCAAGCCCAGGGCAGTGCTCCTACAGAGATAGGGCAGGCACTCAGGGCACACTGCCCACTGGCATTTGGAATAATACATCAGGGCAATGAGCAAAGGGAGGACAATGGGCTTCATGGCCATGATACATCCACGGAGGGACAGTCAGCTGGGCCCAGTGGTTCCTCACCCCCAGCATGTAGCTCAGCCCTTTTGTCAATAGCTCGGCTCCACCCAAGCAAACTTGGACCTGGATATCTTTCCAGCTTCACAGTGTCCAGCCTGGTACAGCCAACACAGACCAGAACAGGCCAGCCCAGCTTTGCCAGATTGGCTCAGCCAGATCAGTACTGCTATCCAGCTAGGCCCTGCTCTACTCAGACACATGCATAGCCCAGGTCAGCCTAGTTCAGGTCAATTTTGTTCCGCCAAGACACCTAGTATAGCCCAGTTAACCCATCCCAGTTCAGCTCAGTTCTTTACAGCTCAGCTCACTTCACTTTCCATGGACTAGCAGGGCTCAGATCAGACTGGCTTACACAGATTAACCTAACTCAATCCAGAACAGCCTAGCGCAGCTATAACCAGGACAGTCTAGTACAGGCCAGTTTAGTTCAACCCTGATTGGTCCTGCACAGCTCAGCTCAGCCCTGCTAATGCTGCTCAGCCTAGCTCAGCTCTGCCTTTCTAGTCCAGCTCAGCCCTGCTCATCCAGCTGAGCCTAGTTCAGCCCTGCTAGTGTTGCTCAGTCCAGCTCGGCTCTGCTTATCCAGCTCAGCCCAGATCAGCCCTGCTAGTGCTCCTCAGCCCAGCTCAGCTCAGCCCTTCTAGTCCAGTTCAGCCCATCCCAGCTTAGCCCTGCCTGTGCTGCTCAGCCCAGCTCAGCTCAGCCATGCTCGTCATGCTCAGCCCAGCTCAACTCAGCCCTGCTTATCCAGCTCAGTCCAGCTCAGCCCTGCTCATCCAACTGAGCCCATCCCAGCTAAGCCCTGCTTGTGCTGCTCAGCCCAGCTCAGCTCAGCCATGCTCATCATGCTCAGCCCAGCTCAGCCCTGTTCATACAGCTCAGCCCTGCTAGTCCAACTCAGTCCAGCTCAGCCCTGTTCATCCAGCTCAGCCCTGCTAGTGCTGCTCAGCCTAGCTCAGCTCAGCCCTTTAGTCCAGCTCAGCCCTGCTAGTCCAGCTCAACTATGCTCATCCAGCTCAGCCCAGCTCAACCCAGCTCAGCCCTGCTAGTGCTACTCAGCCCAACTCAGCTCAGCCCTTTTAGTCCATCTCAGCCTTTCTAGTCCAGCTCAGCCCTGCTAGTCCAGCTCAGCTCTGCGCATGCTGCTCAGCCCTGCTCATCCAGCTCAGTCCAGCTCAGCCCTGCTTGTCAAGCTCAGTCCACCCCAGCTCAGCCCTGCTCATGCTGCTCAACCCAGCCCAGCTCAGCCATGCTCATCATGCTCAGCCCAGCCCAGCTCAGCTCAGCCATGCTTATCCAGCTCAGTCCAGCTCAGCGCTGTTCATCTAGCTCAGTCCAGCTCAGCCCTGCTCATCCAGCTCAGCCCATCTCAGCTCAGCCCTGCTTGTGCTACTCAGCCCAGCCCAGCTCAACCATGCTTATCGTGCTCAGCCCAGCTCAGCCCTTCTCATACAGCTCAGCCCTGCTTGGCCCTGCTAGTCCAGCTCAGCCCAGCTCAGCCCTGTTAATTCAGCTCAGTCCAGCTCAGCCCTGCTCATCCAGCTCAGCCGAGCTCAGCCCTGCTAGTCCAGCTCAGCCCAGCTCAGCCCTGCTAGTCCAGCTCAGCCCAGCTCAGTTCTGCTAGACCTACTCAGCCCAGCTCAGCCCTGTTAATCCAGCTCAGTCCAGCTCAGCCCTGCTCATCCAGCTCAGCCCAGCTCAGCCCTGCTCGTGCTGCTCAGCCTAGCTCAGCTCAGCCCTTCTAGTCCAGCTCAGCCCTGCTAGTCCAGCTCAGCCCTGCTCATCCAGCCCAGTCGAGTTCAGTCCTGCTAGTTCAGTTTAGCCCAACTCAGCCCTGCTCAGCCCTGCCAGTTCAGCTCAGTCCTGCTAGTCCTGCTTAGCCCAGTTCAGCTCAGCCCTGCTAGTCTTGCTTAGCCCAGCTCAGCTCAGCCCTGCTAGTCCAGCTTAGCCCAGCTCAACCCTGCTCGTCTAGCTCAGCCCTGCTAGTCCTACTCAGCCCTGTTCATCCAGTTCAGTCCAGCTCAGCCCTGTTCTTGCTGCTCTGACCAGCTCAGCTCAGCTCTGCTTGTCCAGCTCAGCCCAGTTCAGCCCTGCTTGGCACTACTAGTCCTGCTCAGCCCAGCTCAGTTCAGCCATGCTCATCCTGCTCAACCCAGCCCAGCTCAGCCTTGCTTATCCTGCTCAGTCCAGCTCAGCCCACCCCCGCTAGTCCTCCTCATCCCAGCCCAGCTCAGCCCTGCTCATCCTGCTCATCCCACTCCAGCTCAGCCCTGCTCATCCAGCTCAGCCCAGCTCTGCTAGTCCTGCTCAGCCCAGCTTAATTATGGTCTTTTCAATTCAGCTTAGCCCTGCTTGGTTCTGCTCAGCCCAGCACAGCATAGCTCTATTTGTCCTGATCTGTCTAATTTAGCCTAGTCCAGTTCAGATCTGTTTTGATCATGCCTAGCCTAGCAGAGCTCAACCCAATCCAACTTGGTCCTGCTTGGTCCTTCTTAGCCCAGCTCAGTCCAACTCAACTCAACTCAGCCCACTTCAGCCCAGTCCTGTTCAGCTCTACTTTGATCATGCTCAGCCCAGTGGAGCTTAACCCAATCCAGCTTGGTCCTGATTGGTCCTTCTTAGCCCAACTCAGCCCAAATCAGCTCAGCTCAGCCAGTTCAGCCCAGTCCAGCCCAGTCCTTTCAGCCCTACTTTGATCATGCTCAGCCTAGTGAAGCTCAACCCAGTGCAGCTTGGTCCTGCTTGGTCCTTCTTAGCCTAACTCAGCCCAAATCAGCTCAGTTCAGCCCAGCTCAACCCAGTCCTGTTCTGCTCAATTCAGCTTTTCCATTTTCCAGCCCAGATCAGCCCAGCTCAGTTCAGGTGAACTGCATCTGCCCATGAGTTCAGCTTATTGCTGCTCAGCCCAGCCTGGTCCTCTAGTCTGTGCACATAGCTTTGAGGGAGCTACCCTTGCTGTCCTCCAATCCTTCTGCCCCACCAGCTGCACATGCTGCTCCTGGCTGCTTCAGGAAGCTCCTTTTCATCCTGTTCACTCTGCCCCACTGGGCTGAGTCAGCAGCTTGCTGCTGCTTTGCTCCTGTCCTGGCCTGTGTCCTCTTGTCTCCCTCTGCCCTCCCACTCAGTCTCCGTCCATCCCGGCTTTCTATCCCTAACACCCGGCAGTGTCCTGCCTGATCTGGCCCTGCTGCCCTCTCAGTGTACAGAGGGGCCAATAGGACCAGAGGGCTTGGGACCCACCTGCTCATGTGGTGAGCGACCTCCGCTGAAGGGACCAGGTCTCCCACCGTCAGGTGGCCTGTGCTGCAGGCCCTTCTCATGGCTGTCGCCTGCTGCCACAGAGGCCTGCCTGCATTGACCTTATAGCCTCAGTGGCCCCTGCCCTGCTCTGGCCGGGGGCTGACTGGATGTGGGAAAGCAGGCAGGAGGGGCTGCCTGACTGTGTCTGGCCCCAGACATGGTCACTTGCCCACTTCCTGCCCCACCTCCATGACCCAGCCGCTCGCCTCCACGTCATGTCTGGTCTGTGGTCTGGCTGTGGTGGGGACAGGTGTGTGTGGCCTGGGCTGTTGGACCCCATGGCCCTCAGTGGGATCAGGGTGTCATGTGGTCAACCCAGAGTTGGCATAGGGGCCAAGATGCTGGTTAGGAGGATGGAAATAGATACAGTTAAGAGCTCAGAGACCCCAAGCTCTGGAAAGGGAGAGAGGGAAGCCAGGGCTGGAGGAAAGGCAAAGGCTGCCTGGTGGTGCCTCTTTGGGTAGGGATGGCCTGGGTTGGACTCCAGCCAGAGAGGCTGCAGGACAGGAGCAAGCTGTAGGCTGCCTTGTGCCAACCCTCTGCCAGACTTCCCACTGCAGGTGTCCACTCCAAGCCCCTCAGACGCTGCCCAGGTCACCTGCCATTCTTTGCCTGCTCTTATGCACCCTATTTGTCCTCTCCCCCTTCATCTGCTGCACCTATATAGGCAACAAGGGGCATCAGAGCCTTGTGGAAGTCAACTTCCTTCACCCATAGCAAGGCTGTGGGAATGCTGGCTGGGGCTGGTGCATTCAGAGGCAGGTTCTGGTGTGCATGGAGTATATTGAAGGTCCCTGGCTGGGTGCAAGGGTAGGAGCGGGAAAGGTGGTAAAGGGATCTGGAGGGTGTCTGCTTGGGCTTGCGAGGTTTTTTGGCCTGGCTGGAGAGACTTTAGGAGTTTCATTCACTCTAACCCTCACAGCAGTCAGCAAGGGTGTGCAGTGGATGCAGGTCTCTCATTTCTGGATACTATAGCAAATATTCCATGGATTGAGAGGCATCATAAATAAAGCTTCATCCCTCCGGGTTTCGAAGTCCAAAAGCACACAGTCAGGACACTAGTTTGGTCATTTATGCAAAGGCCACTTCTTGGCTCCTAGATGGTGGCACAAGGTAGAAGGAGAGAGGGTTTCCTGGGTCTCCTTCCAAGGACACTTTCCATCATAGGGCTGCATCTGTGACATAAGCCCTTCCTGAAACCCCCCTACCCATTGTCCCTTAGGCTTTTGGTTATCAATCACAGAGGAAGCAGCAGAGATCCTCCAAGGCCAAGCAGGAAGACCTTGCATTGCAGATGCACACATCACAGCAAACTGCAGGCTGGGGTAAAGGCAGAGAAGTAAACAGTGAGTGGAAACCACCATCCTTGGCCACAGACTGGACAAGCAGATAGGGGACTGTGAGGAAGGTAGTCCCCACATTTTTTAATATTTTTATACAAATATAAAAAATTATATTTGTAATCCCACTGAGAAGTTGTTGGAATCCTGGCAAGTTAATTCCAATCTACAACCTCCAGTGCAACCCACAATGAGAGTAAAGGCACCAAGAAACATTCAAAGTTAAAGGCAGCCCAGGGGTCCTCTGTCCAATCCCACTGATTCAATGCCTCTCTGAGAATTTATTATCTTGTGAGGAAATAGGTGGTTAGAGGATGAGTGACAGTGAGGATGGTGGGAACTACATGAGTAACATGAGCTGGCTAGCCAGGTAGGGAGAAAAGATCTATGCAAAATGGAGAGAGAATGATATCCAGAATGATCAGTCTGCATAATACAATTAAAGTGACAATGGAATTGTTTTTGGAGGTGTTGCTTCAATCTCTGATATGTAAACTTTTGTGCCCTGGGGACCCATAGCCTCTTTATTTTGAGGTTCATATCCAGTTAACATTCTTGGAACTGACTGGCTCTGCCATCCCAGTGTGCTCATATGTTTTACAGAGAGCACTATTCGAGAAAATAGGAGACTGTCAGAATGGCCCCAAAGATTATATATCAGTACTTCAGCCGGCTTTATTTGAGTTGCTTAGAGCCAATTGAAGAGAAAAGAATATATCATAGCCAGATCTATACATATCAGTATATGAAAATAAGACTCAATTTTAACTAATGTTGCTGCAATTGCTCTGCATTGAAGGAGAGGTATCTAGGTAGTCTTCTACAGGGGCTTCCACTCAACCCACCATGATGGGTCAACAGGAGAGTTGAGAGTAAAGAGGGAGAGGGATGGGGTGGGGACCTGGAAAGCCTCTTGTTGCCCTAGCACAAGACCCTGGCACTGCCCTTGGGGGTGCCTGATCCAGAAGACAGGAGGATGCTGTGAAAGAGGGATCTTAGGTCTCCAGAGATGCTGGCTATGGTGGAGTAGGTTTGGACCTGGTTGTGTGTGTGTACATGTGTCTCCAGTGTGTGTGTATGGGTGAAAGGAAAGGTAGTCAGAAGCCTTGGCCTTTGCTGTGCTCTGAGAAGTTCTATGCTCCATCTAGACCAGTTTGCCAGTTTGGAGTCACTGGCCCATTGTCTTGCCCTGGGTCTCTGGAGGGGATCCTAGCTCCTCACCTTTTCCAGGGACACCTGACTATGTCTGGAGCTCAGCTATGAGGTAGGAGACAGGCAGGATCTTGGGTGGGACAAGGCTGTGGCTCAGCCCTAGCTTCCTTTCTATCCTTGTTCTGTATTAGGGTCCCTCTGGTGCTGGATCTAGCACACCAATGCCGTTTTCTGGGAGGGCCACTGTACAGTGTTACCAAGGACTTGTGATCTACTTACTGGTCTCCAAAATGGTCTTAATTATTCCGCACCTCAGCCAGAGTCCAGGAGAACCATGAAACCTCCTTGCTGTTACTTTTCTAATCATCAAAACTTTCCTTCAAGTTGTTGGATTTTTCTTTTGCACAAAGGACCAGTTTTTTCCCTTTCTTTCTTTTTGTTGGTTCCCAAACACCTTTTAACAGGAGGTCGGGGGTGGATCCTGTCCTTTATTGGGTGCTCATGAACACCCTCTCCCCCTAGAGACCTGTGGCCAGGTCTTTCCCACAGGGCCATAGCCCCAGACCCCGCCTTAATCCTGCCTGGCTGGTGTCTCCTGTGCCCTGCCTTCTCCAGATTGCAAAGATACCCCATCTCTCAGGTGGTAGTGGCCAGCCCTACATGGCTCTTGCTCATGGGTGTGTCAATGCTTAGCCATCAAGACTTTGGGTTGGCTGAGGGGGGTGGGTGACTCAGTGTGGAAGGGGCTCTCACAGTGAGCAGCAGCCTTAGTCCATTTCTGCAGGGGGCTGCCTCTCACCACCCCAACACACACACTGCAGATCTTTCCCCAAAGCACACTCAGGACTCGTCTCTAGACTAGAAGTTTACTAAGCAACACAGAGATGGGAACAGGATGGCTGGGCCAGGCATGGAGGTCAGGGAGGCTGTGTCTCCATGGGAGGCCTTCTTTGGGCCTGGAGATTCCCCTACAGCCTAGGATCTGAGCAACCTTGCAGCCTTCCATTGGAGGAGGTATCTGTGTTTTCACACTTGGGAAATGAGGGCAGAAGGGACCACATTGTGTTTGGACTTGGATCTTGCTTGCTGGGCTGGCTGGACACTAGGTGGTAGCCAGGCCATGGGGTCCAGGCACTCACGTGTTTTTGTGGTTCTTCAGTTCTTATCTTCAGGAAACAGCCTAAATGCCCATGGGTCTGGTCTTGCCTACTCTTCTTGAAGGACAGGGCTGTTTCAGAGAGGGTGAGTGTGCCAGGCAGCCCCTGGAACCTTGACCCTTGGGCTGAACCTTCTGGACCTTGGTGCATGTGTGGGTGTTGCGCCGAGCCTAGGCCCCTGGCTGCAGGACGTTGGTATAGTCATGGAGGGTCTGGGGAGTGCTCTGCAGTGCGGCGGCGAAGACCCACTTCACCTGGGGGAAGGTGTGTATGAGGACACTGCTCAGTCCTGCCCTGGTCCCCATCCTGTCCAGCACCCACATACCTTGAGGACAGTGACAGTAGCACTATAGCTCACGCTGAGCAGAAACAAGGAGATGAAGGTATAGGTGCTGGTCCACAGCTCCTCCAGCTCCTGGCTTTCTTCTTCCTCTGTGCACAGGTCCTGGAGGTCCAGCTCTAGGGATAGGGTCCAGTCAGCCCTCCCAGTGTCTGAGTGACAGACTCTGCTGGTTTCAGGCTGCCTGAACAGACTCCCTGGTGGAGCCTGGGTCCACAGCCCCCCAAGATAGCCAAGAGCCTCTGCCCTTTCCTGCAAGGACCTCAGTTCTTGACCATGGCCTTGCCTGTTTTTCTCTTTCTGTTCTATCCTTGGCCTTGCAGGTCCACAGAATCTGTGTCTCAGGAAGGGCTCTCTCACCTGACCTGGGAGCTGAGTAGTCTGGAGAGGTCTCTGGGGTTGACTTTGCTTCATGGACCCTGAGACCAGGCCAGCACAATTCAATATGGTCTTCCAGGACCTGTCCCTCTGCCCTTGCCAGCTTCCTTTGCTGCCTGTGGCCCCTAGCCACCTGTGTGCATGCTGGATGGCCTTTGTCTGCTTGGCCTGGGGCTGATGATAGCCCAGGGCACTGGGCTGATGGGCTGCTGCCCTGGGAATGATTGCAGGCACCAGCAGCCTCTCTGACTCATAGGTGCATGCATTCCCTGGTTCAGAAGAACTGGCTCTGCACGGGCATGTTGGGTGCTCTTATGCTCAGTGTGTGCACAGTGGGGGATGAGATGGTGATGAGCCTTGGTGAGGCCATGTGCGTGTGTTGTGGGAGCCTGAGTGGGCAAGACCTAGCTCTGACCCTGATCTCAGTGCTGCGTGGGAGCAGGAGGACCAAAGGGCATACCCTATATGACTGTGTGTGTCTGTGTTCATGTTTGTGATTGTGTTTGTGTGTGTGTGTGTGTGTGTGTGTGTGTATCCATGGCCTTGTGTGTCTATCTGTCTGTCACCCTTGGGGAGCAGCTAACAGTGGGCTGGGGATGCTTGTGAGCCACAGGAGGAGTCCATGTAGGGGACACTGGCTAAGGTTGAAGGCATTAATGTGTGTCTCAGACCAGCTCCACACAAACTGTGTAAGGTCTGTGACCCCATGGGTAGCCGGAGAGTGTGTGTTCTGGCAGTGCATGGCATGGTGGGGTAGCCATAGTGCTTAGTGTAACTGCAAAGTCTGGTGTACCCAATTCTGTGTGGGGTGTGGGGTGTGGGGCTGGAGCTCCTCTGGAGTGGATGCAGTTGGGGTAGGGTTTGGCAGCAAACTAGGAGGCCTCGGGTGTGGACCAATGACTGGTGTGACCTATAGTGGAGTGGGTGGTCAGGGGTAGAGTGGTGGGTTTGGCCCTGGCCTTGTGTACAGAGGATATTTGGGTCCAGAGTGTCTGCACTTGTGTGGATTCTGATTTTCCAGCCTCTAGGGCTGGCCAAGGAGTCTATACCCTGGGCCTCAGTAGGATTTTGATTCCTCTGGATGGGACACCTTGGTTGTAAGGTTTGTCCTGGGAGGGGTCCCTTGGATGGTTTGCCGTATACCCTTATTTCTTACTTTCTGAATACCTTGGAGGGCTAAAAGCTGCAGTGGATTGGCTGGGAGGATGGGGAGCTGTTCTAGGCCCCACTGCCTGCTCTTTGACAAGCAGATAGATGGATGAAGCCACATCTCACTTCTTCTCCCCCTCTTCTTTGGGGCCTCCCTTTCTCTGTGCAAGATACCCCATTCCACAGCCCTGCCTTCCCCAAGAATGGGTTCCCAGGGCTTGAAACGGGCACCAAGTGTTTATTGGGTGGCTTCCTAGAGTTGTTACAACAGGGACAGAGGTCTCCTTGATAGATGGAGCATGGGGAGGCAGGGAGGCTTCATTTACCAGGACTCTTGGACACGGTTTTTTCTAAGGTCCTAGGAGGGGGCAGTGCCTCATGGACCACCCGGCAGGTGAATTTGTTGCTCTTCATCCATTCCGTCCGGCTGACCTCCAGACGGCTGACAGTGAAGAAGGAGGGAGGGGAGCTATTGGTCTTGGTGGGGGCTGTCGTGCTGTACTGGCTGCTGTTGATTTTCTGTCCATTTTGAAGCCACAGAACAGAGATGTCCTTGGGGAAGAAGTTCTGGACCAGGCAGGTGAGGAAGAGCATGTCCTGGTTCTGTGGACCCTCCTCTGACCTGTCCTCTTCTGGTAAGAACACATACACCTTGGGCTTCATGCGTGTGCCTGTGGAGAGGTGAGAGTTCCCCAGAATGTGCCTTCTCTGACCCCGGGGAGGCCTGCCCACTACTTCCAGCCTGTGGCTCACCTTGGGCCCTGGTGATGAACCGCACAACAGCCTTGGGCAGGTCAGGGTGAGTCAAACTGCACTTGTAGCTCTCGCCTTCAATCCAGTCCTGCGCGACCACGGGCAGCGTGGACTTGATGCTAACCGTGGTGTTGTCATGTGTTGTGGGGATCCAGGCATCAGGGTTTGTGGCCCGTCCGCTCTCCCGGGTCCACTCCACAGTGACTCCCTCTTTGTTCTCCAGGTCCACCACCAGGCAGGTGAGCTTGGGCTCTGTGCCAACGTAAAGATCTTCGGGACTGGGTGGGATCAGGTAGGCACGCACACCTCGTGGCTCATTCTCATCTGTGGTGTGGAGAGAGGCTGTGTGAGGCCCTGCCAGCCCCTCCAACCATCCCTCCCTCAAGTCTTGGAGTCAGGGTGAGTGGGACCACACCTGTGCACTTTCGGATGTGAGCCTTGGTGGTGCGGCCTTGGGAGAGGACCTGGCAGGTGAAGGTGCTCTCAGATGCCCAGTCACTCTGAGTGATGTTGAACTCTCTTTGGGTAGAGGCCAGCATGCCAGCATTACTGTGTGTACTGTTCTCTGTGAACTTTTCACCGATCTGCTGCCCATCCCTCAGCCAAGTGACTTCAAGGTCACCCGGGATATAGTTAGAAATCAGGCAGTGGAGCTGGATGGTGGGCTGGAACTTGTTTTGGTTGCAAGAGGAATGAAGGAGCTTCACGGTTAGCTCGGAGGGCATCGAAGAGCAAGCTAAGAAAGGGGTGGCCAGTGTGAGTATCAATCATCCTCCTGCCCCCAGGCCCATCCAGAGCCCCACCCTCTGTCCCCAAGTAGTGTGGTCTGGGAGCACCCTGTTCTGGCCAGTTTCCTACTCACCACTGAATGTCTTTGTTTGGTCTAATGAAGATGCAGCATGGATCACCCTGCATTTGAAGAGCTTGGAGCTTGACCCTGAGACCATCATCTGGCTGGCACTGATCAGGGAGCTGGAGTTGAAGTTGAGGGCGGGGAACGCATGGATGGCCACATTTGGCGAGTCTGTGTCCCAGGTCACGGTTACTGGTTCCGGGAAGTAGCCCTTGACCAGGCAGCCCACTGAGGAAGTACTCATCCCCGGGCAGCAGGAGATCAAGGGGTAGATGCTGGGTTTGTGAACAGAAGCTGTAAGACAGGACACGGTCAGTTGGGCCCAGGCCTGGAGTGGAAGGGTATCTGCTATGGACACCTCTCCAGCTCAGTCTAGGAAGGTCTTATTATTATACTAGTTTTCGGTCCACTTCTTGCTCCATGAGCCCCAGGCCCAGAACACCATCAGATACCCCAGATACCCATGGACTGGTGGTCATGGTGCTCAGGCTTGGCTTGGGCACTGGGGTACCCAGGAGGGATCCTGACCTCATCCCTGAGGACTGGAACACAGGAGCAGCCTTAGGGAGCAGCACCATCTCCCAAGCTGAAGCCTAGGCCCAGAGACATCATGGAGGCTAAGGATCCAGAGGTCCAGCTGGACCCACAGAGCAGGGACCAGAGATCCCAAGGACCCCAGACTTATCTGTCCCCACTGGAGAACCCATAGGGCCAGGAACCAGAGATACGGGAACCCCAGGCTGTTCCTTTCTCATAGAGACCCCAGGGGGCTGGGAACCAGAAGCTCATGAACCCCAGGCAGACACCTCCTCACACTGGACCCCACAGGCAGATACTAGATACCCAGGAGTCATGGTATATTTCCACCAGAAACCCATGAACCCCTGGCAGACCCCACCTCACACTGGACCCCACCAGGCAGATACTAGGTATCCAGGAGTCATGGTATGTTTCTGTCTGTCCCCATCTGTAGATCTATTAGATTGTGGATGCAGCACCTTTTCAGGACCCTCAGACACTGCTGTCCTTCCTCCAAATGTGTGTGGGGGTCACAATAGGCAGGACCCCTAAACCTGCCTGGGCCTCTGATCTGTGACGCTACTGGGCTCTGGGTGCAGACATTTGGGTGTCCTACCTTGGTTTCCCCACAGCACAGCCTGTGTCTGACCACATAGAGCTCCATAGCTGTCACACTACTCATGGCTGCCATGGGAAGCAGCAAGAGCTAGCTTTGATACCATGTGGATGGGGATAAGATAATAACAGAGATCACTGGGTCGTACTGCCTGGGTAGCTTTGTTGGCAACTGAGCTCATAGTTCTGAGCCCAGATAGGCTCAGTCTCTAGTTAGCTGCTATCTCAAAGCATAGAACCTAATACCACTGTGATACTTGCAGGACTCACTCACCCAGGGGAGTGATCAGAAACCAGATCCAGTGATTTGGTAACACCAAATAACTACAGAGCAAACACATAGGGCAGTGTAGGAGACTTTCCTATCCACAAGGCTTGACTCAGCCCAGCTTAAGCAGGTGAGCTAAGAAGAGCATAGCCCAGCTAAGTGCAGTCCAGCATAACCCAGCACAGGCCAGCTTAGACCAGCTCAACCCAGCAAAGCTCAGCCCAACTCAGTTTAGCACACAGCTCAGCCCAGCCCAGCCCAGCTCAGTCCAGTTCAGTCCATCTCAGCCCATCTCAGCTCATCTCAGCTCAGCTCAGCCTATCTCAGCTCATCTCAGCTCAGTTCAGCCTAGCTCAGCCCATCTCAGCTCAGCTCAGCCCAGTTCAGCTCAGCTCAGCCTAGCTCAGCCCATCTCAGCTCAGCTCAGCCCAGTTCAGCTCAGCTCAGCTTAGCTCAGCTCAGCCCAGCTCAGCCCAGCTCAGCCTAGCTCAGCTCAGCTTAGCTCAGCTCAGACCAGCTCAGTCTAGCTCAGCTCAGCCCAGCCCAGCCCAGCCCAGCCTAGCTCAGCTCAGCCCAACTCAGCCTAGCTTAAACTCAACTCAGCTCAGCTCAGCCCAGGTCAACCTAGCTCAGCCCAGTTCAGCCTAGCTTAAGCCCAGCTCTAGCCAATCCAGCCCAGCTCAACTCAGCTCAACCCAGTTCAGCCCAGCCCAGTCTAGTCCAGCCCAGCCTAGCTCAGCTCAGCCCAGGTCATCCTAGCTCAGCCCAGATTAAACTCAGGACAGCTCAGCCCAGCTTAAGCCCAACTCAGCTCAGTTCAGCTCAGCCCAATCCAACCCAGCCCAGCTCAACTCAGCCCAGTTCAGCCCAGCCTAGCTCAGCTCAGTCCAGGTCATCCTAGCTCAGCCCAGCTTAAACCCAGGTCAGCGCAGCCCACCTCAGCCCAGCTCAGTTCAGCTCAGCTCAGCCCGGCTCATCCCACTCAGTCCACCTCAGGCCATCTCAGCCCATCTCAGCTCAGCCTAGCCCAGCCCAGCCCAGCTCAACTCAGCCCAGTTCAGCTCCGCCTAGCTCAGCTCAGCCCAGGTCATCCTAGCTCAGCCCAGCTTAAACCCAGGTTAGCCCACCCTTGCTCAGCCCAGTTCAACCCAGCTCAGCCCAGCCCAGTTCAGCTCAGCCCAGCCCAGCCCAGCTCAACTCAGCCCAGCCTAGCCCAGCCCATCCCAGCTCAGCCCAGCTCTGCCTAGTTTAAGCTCAACTCAGCTCAGCCCAGCTTACCCCAGCCCAGGTCATCCTAGCTCAGCCCAGTTCAGCCTAGCTTAAACCCAGCTCAAGCCAGCCCAGCCCAACTCAGCTCAGCTCAACCCAGATCAGTCCAGCTCATCCCAGCTCAACTCAGCCAGTTCAGCCCAACCCAGTCCAGCCCAGCCTAGCTCAGCTCAGCCTAGGTCATCCTAGCTCAGCCCAGCTTAAACCCAGATCAGCCCACCCTTGCTCAGCCCAGTTCAACCCAGCTCAACTCAGCCCAGTCCAGCCCAATTCAACCTAATTTAAGCTCAGCTCAGCTCAGCCTGGCTTAGCTCAGCCCAGGTCATCCTAGCTTAGCCCAGTTCAGCCTAGCTTAAACCCAGCTCAAGCCAGCCCAGCCCAGCTCAGCTCAGCTCAACCCAGAGAAGTCCAGCTCATCCCAGCTCAGCTCAGCCCAGCCCAGTTCAGCCCAGCCCAGTCCAGCCCAGCCTAGCTCAGCTCAGCCCAGACCATCCTAGCTTAGCCCAGCTTAAACTCAGGTCAGCTCAGCCCAGCTTAAACTCAGGTCAGCTCAGCCCAGCTTAAGCCCAGCTTAGCTCAGATCAGCTCAGCCCAGCTCAGCCCAGCTCAGCCCTATCCAGCCCAGCCCAGCTCAGCCTAATTCAGCCCAGCCCAGATCAACTTAGCCCAACCCAGTCCAGCCCAACCCAGCTCAGTCCAGCTCAGCCAAATTCAGTCAAGCCTAGCCCAGCCTACCCTAGCTCAGTCCAGCTCTGTCTCGTCCAGCTCAGCCCAGGTAATCCTAGTTCAGCCCAGCTCAGTCCAGCTCAGCTTAGCTCAGCTCAGCCCAGCTCAGCTCAGCCCAGCTCAGCCCAGCCCAGTTTAGCCCAGCCCAGCCCAGCTCAGCCCAGCTCAGCCCAGCTCAGTTTAGCTCAGCTTAGCTCAGCTCAGCCCGGCCCAGCTCAGCCCAGCTCAGCCCAGCTCAGCAAGCCAGCTCAGCTCAGCCCAGTTTAGCTCAGTCTTGCTCAACTCATTCCAGCTCAGTCCAGGTTAGTTCAGCCTAGTTTAGCCTGTCCAAGGCTGTTCAGTTCACTTCAGTCCTGCTCTACTCAGCCCAGCCAAGCCTTGCCCAAGCTCAGTTCAGCCCAGTCAAATTGTTTTAGCCCAGCTCAGTCTAGTCCAGCTTAGCCAAATTCAGCCCAATTTGGTGCAGCTCAGCCAAGTTCAGCCCAGCTCAATCCAGCATAGCCCAACCAGTTCAGTTCAGGTCAGTTCAAGTCAGGCCAGCCCAGCTCAAGCCAGTATGCCCTAGTAAAGCCCAGCTCAGGGCCACAGTAGTCCAACATAGCCCAGATAAGACCAGCTCAGCCTAGCAGAGCCATCTTGACCTGGCCCCTCACAGTTGAACCCTTGTAAATGCTCTTGGCTCAGCTCAGTTCTTTTAGCCTAGCTTAGTACTGCTAGATCATCCCTTCTCTGGGCTCTGGCCTGCTGCTGTACCACTCAGCACAGCAGTATTGTGCCATGCAGTATCTTGGTGATGTCCTTCTTTTGGCCCTGGAGCAGCTCAGCTTCCCATCACCTTGATCTCCTGAGTCTTGGCAGGTCCAGCCCTGAGCAGCTGAGATTCACAGGCCCAGTTCTCCAGGTTGACATCAGGCTGCTCCTATCTATTTGTACCTTAGTGAGGTAGAGGGCTGTGATGGCCTCATACTGACCCAGTACTTGGTCCATTCTGGGTGAGCAGCACAGGTAACTGCCTCACCAGGTCCCATCCCTCATCCCTATGCCTGGTGTGGGGCTCCCTGGCTGGGGTACCTGAGGTTCTCTGCTGGCTACCTGTGTCCAGGACAGCCGTCCGCTTCTGCAGCCATCTCTGTGGGCCTGTGATGGCTCCAGGCGACATGATTTTAGTTACCGTTGTTATTTTTATGCCCAGGTGATGCCTGGGCAGGGAGCTTTGCCTCAGTGCCCTCAGCTAAAAGTGGGGTGGGAACCCCCAGGCCCCATAGCCCTGGAAGTCCCCTTCTCTCTGTTCTTGGTAAATTGGCTGAGCCACAACAGAGTCTCAGATGGAGGCCCTGTGCAAGGAACACACATACACTCCACAGGGGACAAGTCCTGTCCTCTGCCTCCTGGACTCAACTATCATGACAATGCTGCATGCAGGCTTGGCAGTTGCCCTGCCTGATCCTCAAGGTCCTGATGCCTGAACATGCCATTGCTCCTCTTTTTTGCAGCTTTGTGCAGTGAGAGTGATAACTATTTTGTGTGTGATAAATGATACTTGTGGTGGGCCTTCTGCAAACTGCTCTGCTGATGAGTCAGGTAATCCAGACTACCCAGTTCTAGTGGCCACCTGACCAGTGAAGGCCAACACAGGCTGTGTGCATATTGGCCAGCAGTTCTGTATGGTCCCTCTGTCTTTAGGCATGTTATGTCTTTGCTGGGCAGCAGTTAGAGGTGGTGGGGAGCATGGAGATCTGGAAACCATGTGTGAAGTTGGTCCTGTGCCTCCCTGGGGATGTAGAGTAGACACAGGCCAGGTGCAACTTTCCCTTCATACTTTGACCTCTCTGCAGGATGCCATGTTCCCAGGGATCTCTCTATGTCTCCCATCCACCTGCAAAGGTGCACTCTTTGGGAGAGACATCAGAATTCACTGGGCTTTTGGTTTCCACACAGGCTTGATAGAGCCATGAGGGCCTGGCACCCTCTGAGGGGTTTTCCTGCACACTGGAAGATGCCAGGACTCCTGGATTGTGGGGAAAAGCAGGGTCCAAGGGTCCTCAGGAACTGGCTT